ACTTAATGTACCTAAAATGTCCAACTCCTCACATTACAATTAATTTATATTTCAGGCTTTCTCTTTTTTTTTTTTTATTTACTCTTCTGCCCTTCAGACTGCTCGTGCAAAGGGACTCTAAAATGGCCTGGAAATCACGATTTATCACAAATGTAAAGAGTTTGGCAGAGTACCACCAATGCAAATGAGGTTGGCTGTGTTCTCCCATAAAAACTGCTCGCATTAATTATTCCTTCTGGTAGCAAAGGAACACTCTGAATTACACTGTATTTTACACAGCTTGGCATTATACAGAGATGGCTGCTAAAAGCCTCAGAGAGCCAGTTGTGCTGTGCCACATCCCATTTCAGAGCCATTTTCAGAGGTTGAGTGCTTTGCTGTGTGTCTGAGGTCTGTTCTCCTAGCCATGGAGCCAGAGAAGGATTAATAATAACATTTGTGCTCCCTGAAAAGTTCTCAGCAGCCTGATTAGTCTGATTGTGGAGCTGGAACGCAGCAGGAATAATAGACCAGGAAAGCAGAAGTGCTGTTTCTGTTTACTTGAGATACCGGAGTGATTGTGTAAAATTGAGAGCCACCTCTATCTTCTATAGAAACAAGAGATCTGTCCCCAGAAAGAGAAAAGGTGACCTGGTGCTCTTGTAGTTGCAGGAGAGTGGCTGCTCTTGTTCTGTGTTCAGAAGAAAATTTCAGCTCCTGAATACCTGGAAAAACAACCTATGTAACATAACCTTATTCCCAGGAATGCTGGTGCCACAATAACAGGGATGACTCTGAATATATTAGATTGGCTTGATATTCTGTGTAAAGGGAGGAAATCCATCCCCAGCAGTCTGAGGGGCAGCTTTTTAGATAGGCAGGGGGATGCTTTGGAAGGCATTTCACAACTGGCTAATTATGCCCTTCTGCCCATCTTCTGCTGTGTTTATTTACACCATAAATTCGGTGTAAGTAATAGCAATTTAACCCAAAGAAGGTGTTCAGGAGGTGAATGGAGTTCTGGCCATCATTTTCTGCTAGGCACTCCCTTATGAAGGAGCAACAATCCGACAAGATCACAAAAGCCAAAAGGAGGAACAATAAAAACGGTAGTAATTGGGACAGCGCCCCATGTTCCTCAAGGACAACAGAGAGCAGCGTAAACTGTGTTCAGTCTTTACCTCTCAGGGCTCCACAAAAATCCTGGGGGCTTGTCTCATCCTTGTCTTATAAGGCTGATTGCACATGTACCACCAATGTAATGGGGGGATTATACTTTTAGGGCCCAGGACTTGGACATTGAACTTGAAAATCTCAGCCTTTGGTAAATATGGGATGTTTGCTAAGCTGCTTTTAAGTGTAAACTTTAGTGGGCACAGCACTATCAGCAGTTTGGAAATTAATTGTCCTTGGCTTTATGGGGTAGCTGGATTGAAATGTTATATATAGAGATAGGAATGACATGCAACTCAGAGCCTTTGCTTTATTCTCAGCAGTATTGTATGCAAATGGAAACAGTAGCCTCAAAATGTGTTCAAGTCTATTTATCCAAATACTAAGGAGTTCTCTTTCCCCACTTCTGTTGTTTTGCTTGATTGTTTAATGAGCAGGTTAATGAGGCTGGGTCTGCTGTATGAATACAAGCAGAGCACTCCGGTGGTTTCCCCCGTGGCTGATGCTGTCACAGGCTAAGCTGCTGCAGCTCTAAACCAAACCAAAGGAAGCACGGGGTGTACTGGTGCCCCACTATCACCCCAGAATCACATGCTGCCTTCAGGAGGGTTATGCACCCACATTTTGTGCTTTGGGCTCTGGGCCACTCCTAAGGTGCCCCATGGCCATGCTGTCCATGCGAGGAGAGCAATGCCTCTGTGTGTCTGGTGTGATTCTCAACCACTTCCCTCTAGGAGAAGGACTTTGGCATAAAGTTAGACTGAGGTTAACATGTAAAAGTCAAATATTTGCTTCATGTTCCTACCACTTCTTACCGATCCGCTTGTAGTCGCATGTTTTATTTGGGCTTCGGTGAAACAAAAACATTTGGCCTCAAGTAACTTGATCCATTGAAATTTGTTGGAATGCTTACTAAGTTTGAAAAAACGTGCTGAAATCTCCCAAGCTGAAAGAGATTCTTATGGCAACAGGCAGGATATAGTGGCAGAATGACCCACAGGCACGAATGTTTCAGTCATGTCTCCAGGAGCTCCGCTTCCCTGAGGAAGTGTTTGACAGTTTGTGGCTGACTGGAATATTTTAGAAGTGATCAGAAAGCCAGATTTATGGACAGCATTTGGCCATGTCAATGAGTGCATGACATGAGTATGACTTGGCACACTGCTTTTTCCTTGAACAAGTGGCTGTGTTGCTTGGAGTCTTTCTGTTCTCAGACTACCCAGATTTCCCTGACGAGGAGCATCACAGCACTGTGCTGCTCCCTGGCTTCAGATTCTTCCTCCAGTGAGCTGAGGCTCTGATTTAAACTGCTTTTGAGTCAGCTTCATAGGCAGAGCACTGAAAAAGGAGGTAATTGCCATCCAGATAAAAAACAGGTAATTTGATGTTGTATCTGGTATTGGGAAATCTCATTTCAAAGGAATGCCCCTGTAAACCAAGCAAGGTTTGTTGTTGGAACTGCTGGAGCGAGTTGAGGGGAGGCTCTGAGGGTGGGACATTGTCTTCAATGAGGAAAGGCTTAGAGAGTTGGGGAGGTTCAGCCTGGAGAGGAGAAGCCTCCAGAGAGTCCTGGGAACTCCTTCCTGTGCCTGAAGTGTCACAACTGGAAGTGCTGTCCCTGCTTGTCCAACCTCCCTGGCCTCGCTCGGTGCCAGCGGCAGCGCACGGCTCCTCCCGGCTCTGAAGGCAGGCAGACAAAATCAGGCAGGCTCACAATAGATGCTGCAGACAGTCTGTGCTATAAATCAAAAGAAATTCAACAGTTCTGTCAGACAGGATCACATTCCAGCTAATGATACTTCATTATGTTCTGGAAAAGAGATGGGGCTCTGATAGGTCTAATTAGAAGAAAAGGAAATGTAATTTCTATGTCTCTCTTTGACTGTATTTCTGCACAGATGTTTTCAGGGTGGTTTCCAGGTAACTCCTGAAATCACAATAGGATTGTTGGATGTGGATTATGTGCAGTTATTCATTATCCATGTTTATGTAGCACCAGGGGCTTATACTGCCCTATGCTACACAAACATGATTTGAAGATACATGATGGGAAGAGATGAAGTCATATCCCTCACAAAACATAAATAAGCTTAACATTTGTCCTTCATGTGAGTATAGATCTTTCCTTTACCTTTCACATCTTTCCAGAGGCAGAGTTCTGTTGAAAGAATGTTGTCCTTATTGAACTAAAGTGTCTAAGGCAAATTCAGTAAACTTTCTCAGTGCTATGGATTCTTGCACTTGCAGCTCCAATTCAATATCCCCTGCCTACCTTGATTTGAAAATCTGTAATGGTAATTATTTTACCAAGTGAAATAGAAAGGAAAGGATCTGAATAATATAACACTCATAATAAAAATGTACTGAAGTATTCTCACAAGATCTTTAAAGGCACAAATACTGTTAGGTTCAGAAGGCCGTTAATGTAGCATAAGCAGAGTCATAAGCATTTTTTAGGCTTGTGTTTCTTTCCATTATCTGAGCATGTTTTCAGTTGTAAATTGTAATTTTAAAAACACCCAGCACTTCAGTTTTGCTATTACAAGTGCTTTCCTTTTTCAGTCTTCTCTGAATGCTTTGTTACTACAATGACAAGTTCTGTTGAGCTTTTCACTTAGAAAGTCCTATCAAAATACATTAAAAAAAAATCAGTAGATATTTACTCCTGGGGACTTCTTCCTGCCCATGGAACTGGATGAGCTTGAAGGTCCCTCCCAGCTCAAATAATTTGGTGATTTATGGACTTCGTTTTTCAGCTCTCAATAGAGTCAATGGATGTGCCCACAGTGCGTAGTCAGGAATATGTATGTGTGGTTGTCTTCTCCAGCTGCCTTTAATTAGGAATTCTCCTGATGAAATCCTGCATTGAGCCCTTCATTTCAGTCATGGTAGGAGATGTAGCTACTCATGTGTTTTCTGTCTGGTTGCAATTCTCCCAAGTATTTCCCTTGTGTGTCACAATTAAAACTAGGGATCTTTGGAATGCAATAGTGTGTCTGTGGGTCACTTTGGAACCGCCTGCTTGTGCTCTAAAATACCTTTACTGGGATGAAAATTGGCATGACTGTGTTCTGCTTTATTTCTATAATTAAACTCCAGATATTAGGTAGCATTTATTGACCAAATTGTATTTTACCTCTTTACTTTCCTGTGGCCTGCAGCAGCAACCTTAGAATTTGTGTTGACTACTAAGCAAAGAATGCAGTTTTTGTTTGTTTTCATATAACAAACTATGTAAAGCTGTAGCTCTTCTTCTGTGAAATTATTAGCAATGTTTTTTTTTAATATTTGGAATGATGGTGAATGGTATGCTTAATATAATTAATATAATTTAATGTAATTAAGGTCTGGAAAGTTTTGTTCGTTCTAAATTAGCTAAGGCAATAAACACAGGCCTGCTTTTAAAACCCTTTAGAAATGTTAAAGGCAGCTGAATTATTAGAGACCCAGTCATTTTGTCTAAAAGTAGGTAAGGTTATGACTAGCAGATTAAAAACATCTAAAATGTTTAAAAGTTTAGATGTTACAAATTAAGCTTCATATGTGGCATAAAGATTTTATTCAGTAACTTTTAAAACTTATAAACATCAATGGAGGTGTACAAGACCACAGAAGACATAACAAGAACCCTATCCTATTAAAATGTATTTTAAATATCTTTTCTAATTGCTAATAGGTATAACATTAGTTTGTAGGATGTGAAAAGATTTTAGAAGTCTACATCCATGCTATGAAAGTTGAAAAATGTTTTTCTGCTGCACACAGTTGTCATGATCTTTTCAGAGAGAAATTGCTTCACTGACTCCTATCAATAAATGCTAACATTAGATGTATTCTAAAAATTTCAGCGACCATTAATCTAAGAATTCTCTGAAGCTGGAAAAACAAGACTAAAAATGGATCTCCAAGGATTTTCAGAGGGAAAATGAAGTTCTGCCTACTGGAGCATCCTGGTTCAGGTATGTGGAATGCACATGATTAGGGATGGCCCTGTCAGACACCCTGCCAGTGAAGAGAAATAGCAGTGAGGAAGTGTGACTGCCATTTATCACACCCTTTCACACCAGAGTCAGCCTTTCATATTTTACTATTTTTATTCGCACATTTCATATTATGCTAAGTTAAAAATCTGCAACAAATACATTCAAAGTATTTTATGTCACAATCAAGGATCCACTAAGCAGAATTAACACTGGGGGCATTGTCACTTTAGCAGGAAAGGAAGGGAGTACAGGAGGGAAATCAGAAACAAATATGCCTCCTGATCCTCCCTGGATGTACTGTGTTCTCAGAAGAATCCAGGATTTGAATTTACTTGCAGAGTTTTCTAGAATCTTTCAAAAGACTCAATTCAGGTAAAGTGTTCTTTTTCCTCTAATAAATAATTTGGGATTATAGACTCCTTTTTATTTTGATGAGAGAATGCTCCCAGCACACTTGTTGTCTTCCCCCCAGTGAGTGATTTTGTGGGCATGTGCTTTTTTATACTGTTTATTTGCAAATAAAATACTTTTAGGCTTTGCTCTTGGGCTCCTCAGGTTTTTGTTAGCCCTGGGATGTCATGAGACAAATTCAACTGTGCTGCATCCATCAGCAAATACACAGCTTTCAATTAATTGTTGAATCTTCACTTCTTTGGGTCAGTTCTTTTGCCTAATCTCTATTTGAAGCTTTTATGCTACCATTCTCTGGAGAACAACAGGAATTCGTATGGGATTTATTGGCATCAGCCAGCTGCTGCTGTCTGCTGCTAATGCTATGATCTGTCAGGTACAGTAATTTATTCAATTGTCATGCTTTCTGGATTTTGAGGTGCTGTCCATAACACAAACCCAATCTTGTGATGGCGTGTGATGCCTTTGTGAGACAAGGCAGAGCTGTCTAGCAGGAGAGAGGCTGTGCAGGGCTTAGTTTACACAAAGTTAAAGGTATAATATTCCACCCTGGGAAGTACAATATGCTGCATCTAAAAAATGAAAGTTTTCACAAACTGTATGTGCATGTACGTGTAGCTACGGTGTTAATGGTTTTTAACAAGGATGTGAGAAACTACCAAAGACAACCACATAAATGAGAAATGATTGTTGAGATGTCTACCCCAGTTTGTAATGATGCCTTTTTACAGTCTTTTGGGCAATGCTACCAAAAAACAAGGGGGATACTCTGTTTATTTTTACATGGCACAGCAGTGCAATTTGCCCAGTGAGTTAATGAGCTTGTGGTGAGAATTCTGTGGTGTTGGACGTGGCACAGGTCTGGGAGATCAAAGTTTTTTGGTACAAGACGTGGGGAGAGAGGTAGAAAGAGATGAGGATAAAAGAATGATGAAAAAGGTGAGTGCTAGAAAGAGATGGAGATGAAAGAATGAGGAAAGGGTAGGTGCTCAAAGCTTGCCAAAAGCAAAGAGAAATCCGGTTGGCCACTTCCTGTGTTAAAAAAGGACCATTCAGCAAAATGGTACATCAGGAACTGCTCAGCTTATTCATCAGCAGAAATTTCATTAAGCTCAACAAACTGCTCTTAAAAGCTCCGTGCGCAAGATCAGAGGTCTCAAGATAGAGCAGTTTAAAGATACTAAAAATATGGAAGATTTTCTTTTATGGATTGTTGCAGTGTTCAAAAGCCACCAATTAAAAATTAATAATATAGAAAAGAAAAAGATACTGGAATCAAAGTCTTCCCGGTTGGATCATGTTTTTTAATAGCCTCGGTTAATGGTAAATTCCTAAGTGGCAATAAGCAGAAATTCCAAGTGCTGCAAGTACTGCTCTTATTCCCCCAAAATCAAGTGAGATGTGAACTTTTAAACTCTATAAAATAAGGTTGTTCTGAGGCTCATGCTATGCTTTGGGGATCAGTTATTTGCTCTGACACCCTACAAAGCCAGGCTGTATTTTTGAGGCCTGTAGAGACCCAGGTTTACTCCCTTGGCACCTGGGGTTTTGGCCATGCTGTGATTACTGAAAATAAGCTCCAGTTGTGGGGAGCTGTGTCATTCCCAGGCTGGAAGTGCTTTATGTCTGGCAGGTTTGTAGCTCAGGACCGAACTCGGTTCCATCTGCAGCAGAGTCTGTACACAGACACTTGGCTTTTCTGTGTCTCTTGCTCTCCACATACAGCTATTAAGGATAATTATCCTTTCCCACTGCTGAATTTTATAGATAAGCACATTAGTTGGGAAGTACAGGGGAAAGGCAATCATGAACCTTCATTTATTAATTTGCTAAAACACATCCAAGGAGATTATGCAAAATATATGTGCATTTCTGAAAGCTTAAGGGCTTCTTAATTAATTCATCTAATCTGTTAGCAAAAGAGAACTACTTTATTATTTAGTATTTTTGTGGAACATCTCTGTTTAGTGATGTTACAAGCGTGAAGGCTGGAGAATGCTTTGTCCTTTTAAGGACACCCATTTGAAAAGAGGTTTTTAAAACACTTCTCAGTAATATTGAAGCTAAGAGCCTACAAGGCACAGAAAAGCAGGTACTTCTACCACAGGGAAATTGTGAACGTCTAGGCCTGACCTTGCTGATGTCAGTGGTAGTGCTGCTGACTTCAGTGGGAGCAGGTATTTGCTCTAAAAGCATCTGTAGCACGCCAGCTTTACACAAGTGAGGTATCCTAGTGAACTCAAAATCAGGTTTAGTTTATCTGTAAAAAAATACTTGGATTTGGCTTACAGCAGCCATACTCCTGAGGCCATGACTTCCCTGTGTTTTCCAGCAGCAAGCACTGTGATTGAAGCTAAAGTTGTTGCTAAAAAGTGGAAACCCTTCAAAATGGATCCAGGACAGAAATAGCATTTGTCAGACCTGTTTTTCAATCAAGACAATGCCTTAAAATAATATTTTACTAGGCTATGCAGTGTTTTTATTTTGAAGGAAATGCTGCCAGTTCTCACTTTGCTGCCAGTCACCCACAAGTTAGTAGCAGTTCTCAATCTGAGAAATTTAATTGCTCTTTCTGTACAGCTTGCTTTTCTTCTGTCTCTGCCAGCAGGAAATCCCAACTCCAAACCCAAAAGGTCAAAGTATTTGTTAGAGGTTCTGGTTTTTCCCTATGATTGTGAGTTATAGGTAACATCTCATGTGAATCTGTAGTTCTGGACAGAGAATGAGGTGGTACAGAAAAAAATACTTTAGTTACAGTCTGGTTTGCTGGTGCATGTTTTGATCTCTTTCCCTTGTCTTTTAGCTTTATCTTTGCTCTCACAAATGTCAGTCCCATTAATCTTTCCTCAACGAGAGCACTGAGAGAAGGCTTTTTCAGCATGGCCTGCCTGTTTGTACCAGTGTGATTAGCTCAGTAAGGACTCACCTACAATTCACACGTGGCAGCTGGCTCGTGCTGGAAGTGCTCTTGGAGAGCACTCTGAGAACTGGAAGTGCTCTTGGGTGAGAAGCACACTCCAAAGTCTGTAAAGGCATGTCATTTCCACTGGTGTAGATCTCATCTCACTGTCAAGTGCTGCAGAAAATACCAGACACTTTCACCTATTAAAATCAAACCAGAGTAAACCCTGCTGTAAGTTGTCACTAACTATGTGCTGCAATTGATGCCAATTCACCAAGATCTGGGGGGTCAGTCTGCTCAGGATTTGTTGCAGAGACCTAATCCTGTTCAGATAATGCACAGGAGTTATGCCAGTAAATGCCATTCCCACAGGATACCAACAGTGGCACTGTCAGATGGGTAAGGCCAGCCTATGAATCCTTGAAAACATCTTTAAGAGATGTCTAGAAAAGGTCAAGATATTTTCCCACTGCTCTATGGATTCATGTTTCGTTAGGTGGATTTATGATCATTTTTATGTGCACGTCTGAGGTTTCAGTCGAGATAAAATTTGTGGGCTGATCTTGTGATATGCATAGCACAGCTTTTTTAATGAAAAATAAGACCTGCAGTTCTTACTCACCTGAGCATTCCCTTTCTTTGGTGCTTGTGTGAAGACAGAGAAACTCCACCTATTGGAAACAAAAAGGAGTTGCCTCTATAAAATCAAAGTTCAAAATTGCTGTCCAGCCTTTTAGGCATGAAAGCAGAACGTTTCGTAAAGCAGTTTAATCAAGGTGAATAAAAGTTGCTTTTGAAAGGATGACCCTGGATAATTCTCCAGCTTAGCTGTCTGTAGAATAGTTGGTACTAAAAAAATATTTATCAACTATATTGCACAGTAGTATTTGGGAAAACAACTGCTTGGCAGCCCACTCTTGGGAAAAAGAAGTGAAGTTTGTAGGTGATGATAATACTAATGCTAGTACCAGCAAGCTTTAGTTTTAGCAAGCAACATGAAATCATCATGCTTCCAGTATCCCTTTTCTTTTTCACTCAAGCTGAATCATACATAACTGACTGTCTGCAGTGTATAGCAAATGTTTTCATGCCTGTGTAACATCTTACTGAATATTTTCTGAAGAAACTTTAAGATGAAAAATGTTAGAAAACTTGAGAAATAATCAGAAACATAAAAGCAGAGCTGAAAGAACCAAACTTGGTGAGGCATTTTAGAAGTTCTTTCTAGGAAGTTATTACCTGTGAAGTGCTGTCAGTGTAAATGCAACTATGTTTTATTGCAGTCTGTGAGAAAGGGTAAGTGTGGTACTGGAGGAATGAATCCAATGAATCCTTCAATAGCATTTCTGACATGACCACGGATTGTTTGTTTTTGAGTGCTAAAAGTAGGTCTTGGAGAAACACTCATTTCAACTGGGATACCATATTTCAGCAGACTGGCCCAGTCTTCGGGCTGAAAGAAATGCTACTGCATGATTTTCTGTCCAAGAGATCCAGACACATTGCAGGTTTTCAAAATGATACAATAACCAAAGTGAATATTCCAACACTTAATTTCAGCAGTTTTGAAACCTATGAGGGCCTCATGCCAGTGGCATAAATCATTTGCTGCTGTAAATTGATAAAACTCCATTAAAACTGAATGATTCATGGACATACCAAAAATTAATTCAATCCAATGTAAACTCTCCTTGTGATAAAAAAAAATTTAAATTTTAACTTCCAAGTTCTAATGACCTCAGAGAATTACAGCTGGCATTTATTGTATTTCTGATAAATTACTCTTCTCAAACATATACAAGTGCTGATGTGTTTTGCTTAGGTTAATATTTCATCAGCTGTCAAAGTGACCAGAGTTCCTGTATGAAATTTTAGGAGTAAGTGAACCAAGCTGTGGCTTCTGCTCTTGTCCCAACCTTTATTACCCTTGACTCCTGAATGCTTGCCATGGGTTTGCAGATGTACAATCACGACACTGCATGAGGCAGTGGTTATTATACACCCAAAACCCACTGAAATAATATGAAGGATCTGTTAAACTGGCAGAGCAAAGAAATACAGATTGCATCAAAATTTAGCTGCAAGATGAGAAGCAGCATTGCAGAGTCTCAGTGCCGTGAGGACACA